CAGTCATGCTCTGAGTGCTCTGAAATCCGTTACAGTTATAGTTGTAGTTAACCTGTCGCAGATTTTTACTGCCTTAAAAACAATTTACAATGCCAAAGTTATCCCCCAAATTACCAAATGCATTCCAAACATCCTATTTAATCACAGTGATGAGTTTCACTATCAAGGACGAAGCAGAGTGGAGTTTTGCTGTGAAAGTAAAGCTTACAACAACTAGCATGCTACTGCACACTTCTGGATTATGGCACAGTAAAATGCTTTCTAATTAAATGCAGACAATTCAGTCTGTTTATTCGATTCGATTTGGGAGTGCAGATGTGGTTTCAGATTATAGCCATCTATCAATAAAACAGCATTTATTGGCATTCAGAAAGTATTTTGCCACCATCTTGAAACTTCCTTGTCTCTTGATGCAAACAGATGGCAGTGTCTTTCATGTATTTTGGGGGTTTTTTTTAACACAAAATGTGAAAATGAATGCAAATTTTTTCACTTTTTGAGTCTAAAATGTAACACATTCCTACTATTCAAAGTATGCAATGTTCATTTCAAATCCAAAGTTTGCAGACTCTTTCTTCTTGAGTGCAGTAGACGCGTGTTGTGCTGCTGTCCTTGGCCTGTCATGTTTTATTTCTCTGCTCTGCTCAGATCATTAAGAGGGGATTGATGCTGCCTGTTCATTATACAGGAGCTAAATGGAACCACAATGAAAATGTGCCACTCACTGTCACTCACCATTGCATTATTCCATTACTGCTTATCCACAAAGAGCTCTTAAGTCAAATCATCGCAGACAGCCACGGCTTCCCCACTTCCTATTTCCTGCTTCCTAATTCCCACCATAAATCTTTTACTAATCTATTAGTAACCTCTTATTTGCTGTTGTTCCACTTTGTTGCACTCTGCACCTTTGGAAGATATACTTTTAAAAACACATTAAAAATACATATAGCTGTTAGGAGCAAAGTACGGATTTATTATTTAGGGGAGAGGGGGTATTACTTGCACCTCCCAGAGTGGGCTATGGCTCGTGACCATATGGACTGTAAAAACTGCTATGTCAGGGTTTAATAGAAGTACAAACAACTACTTTAAAGTGCCCATATTAGGCTGTTTTCTGATCTCTGCTATAATGTGGTTCCTCATCACAAACATACCTGGAGTTGTGTTTTGTTTCATTCAATCATGTTTAACACACAAACCCTGTATGTTTAGGCTGAGTTCTTCTCTCAAACAGAAAACACTCTGTTCCACCTTGATGTCATGTGGTAATACAGAAAGTGCTCCACTGTGTTTTCAACTCCATACACCTTCATTAGAATCATTTGTATCATTTCAGCCCTGGAATTGCTGATATCTATACTGAACTAAAGGTAAAAAGAGTAGTTAATTTGAAAACTGCCGCTTCATGACTCACTTCAGGTTTGGAGATGCAGACATACCAATGATAAAGGGTTACTCAAACATGTGTGAATGAAATAAAACACTCCAGGTCTGTTTTTGAGGAGATAACACCATTATGAAATGGCTTAAAGCTCACAAGAGTCAATTTTGTGCAATAAAAGACCTTTAATGGTACTTGAAGCAGTGTTTATTTTGTGTTCAATATTGTTGAAACCAATTACTAGTTTGTGAATTTTATTAACTGACAATAAAACTTTCAGATTATGATTATGAACATCACAGAACAGTCAATGGCTGTCTGGCAAAAAGTGATAGTATAATTTTTGTATTTTTACCATATCCTGAATGGGACAGTGCTCATTTAAAACACATTACAAGTGACATTTATTTTTTTTAAATATTGTTGACGATTACAAGCATCAACTTGTGTTTTTTGCTGTCCAAAATAAAACTACCTAAAACATTTCTGAGTGATATACAAAATAGTCATTATGTTTGTCCTCAATAATACATTTAGGGAAAAGTGAGAAGGTTGTTATTGAGAATGACTCATGTCTGATTTTATTGTTCAATTTCCTTGTAATCGAAATACATAATTACAAACATAACCAGGTCCAAAATGAGTATGAAAGCACAATCATGACAGCACATGACAGGAGCGGCAGGAGCAGATGTGGTGAAAGCATTAGCACGACAGGTGCGATTGTGGCTCATAGTGAACGGGGAGGATCTCAGGGTCACAATGACTCCTCACTCACACACCTGCTCTGACAATAACAGCTCTGCAAGTGCCAAGGAACACGCTCACTCCAGCTTTCAATATTCAACTCTTATTGGATCCAGCGGTGCAGTGCATTTACAGCTACTGACTTACAGTTACGTGGATAACCTTTCAGAAGAAATTATACTTCTCGGAGGAGTTTTATCACACGGTAATTTTTAAAACTTTTACTTTACTTGTAATTTTATTATCATGTAACAAAAATATTAATATAAACAAAATTGAAATGTACACCCTATACAGATATATTATGGCTCTTTTCCATTTTAATAATTTATGTCAAAGTATAATTCTAATATATGTAATAATACACTCCAGAAAATAACATTAAAAAACATTAATTAAAAAAAGGTGGCATAATAATCCATGTTGTTTTTCAAAATAAAACCAAAAATAAGAAAACGAAAAAAAAAAAAAAAATGGAAAAAACAAATGTCCTGTTTCTGTGACTTAAACTGCGATGCAAGACTGAACCAGGACTAAAACAGGTCTAAACGAGAACTGAACATGGACTAAACCGGATCCCGGTCTTAGTCCCAGTCTCAGTCCCGGTCCTGGTCTGACCTCGGTCTCAGTGATGGTTCAGTCTGGCAACACAATTTAAGTCACTGAAACAGGAAACGGCTGTTATCCGTTTTTTTCCATTATTCATTTAAACACAGAATTGGAAACTGAAAAAACTACTTGTTATCTGTTTTTTCATTTTGTTTTTTGACACAAATAATGAAACAAACTGTTGATTTTTCATTTTCTTATTTTTGGTTTTATTTTGAAAAACAAACAGACATATTATACACGGATTCATTAAACTGCACCAAGACCTTTGACCTTTTACCTCGGGATCACTAAAGTATCTCTCTCTCTCTCTCAAGTATCTCTTTCTCTGTCTCTTTGTCGAGTTACATCATCATTGTATGATTCGTTTGGTTTGAAGTGGTCCAAAGTTATCCCTCTTATCTTTTGCAAAAAAAGCTTCCTAATACCTAACTCACTGCATTCAGTTTAAAAGTGCTTTGTGCAACCTCCACAGACCAGAGCAGTGTTTTGCTGTCATGAAAAAGCTAACAACAACTAGCATGCTAACGTCCTTTTCCTGATATCGGGCAATGAAATGCTTTATAATTAGATGTAGACAGCACTCAGGGGCCTCAAGATCTGTTAACACTATATATCTGTACTGGGGCAAGACAAATGTTCCTCAAATACAAGAGAAAGATCTGGTACAGAGCCTTTAAGCGATTGCATATTAAAGCAGTACATTTTTGGTCTATTCTACCCTCCTCTAATAGTGCAAGGCCAGCAGATCTATAGCGTCTTTGACTTCTTTGACTCCGTGACATCCAAAAGCATAGAGACTCGGGATCATAGTCCAACTCACGTTTCAATTATTCCCTCCACTGTTGTGTCGACTCATCGTTTAGACAAGTTTTTACCATCGGCCAAGATTGCTTTTGGGACAGGGATGCAATATGGTCCAGGGCAATCTATCCTTGTGTCAATATGTCAAAACACTATCATTCCTTTTCTTATAATCTTGCTGATTGTTACTGCTAAACTCTCTCGCCACAGTCCATTTGCTTCTCAGCATAGAGTTTGCCAAAAGCTTGTTATCCCCGTGATGAATCGAATACTGGGCTTTCTATATTGAAAATGGGTATTATGCCACTGCATCTAGTCCTAAATGTATTATCTATGGCTCATTTAAAAGTTTAGTGCACTGGAGCAAACTAACTTCTGTCCCATTGTGAGAAAGTTAGACGGGCCACTTACTGCTTTTGTCTGCAAGTTCTACCTCTGCTCCCCTGCTCCGACCTCTTGCATGAAATACAAGATCTATTTATTCTATAGCCCCAGTTTCAATGTGTATTCTTTGATCAATGAACGTGCAATGAATGGCATTTAATTTTTTGGTTTGTCCTTCTGATACACAAGGCACTGTACCAGATTTTTACTGTCTTGTTACCTTACTCATTCTGAGTATCCTAAATTTTCACCACAAATTCTCAGAGACCAGGGAGAAGTTTTGTTGCGACGGTACAGCTAACAGTCCACACTTTCTGATTATCACACAATAAAACACTTTCTAATTAGATGCAGCCACATTTCTGTATATCTGTACTGGGCCAAGACATATTTTGCTAAAATACAAGTGGAAAAATCTAGTACGGCACTTTTATTGGTTGATTTTTTCTTATCCATTACTGTTACTGTCTGACAATTTGCGTATTCACACTTGTCCTGATTCGTTTCTGGATGGAGTCCAATTTAGTTCTAATGTTGACTTGTTTTAGCCATGTTCTAGTCTGGGTATAGTTCTGGTCTAGTCCAGGTTTAGTTCTTTACAGCTTAATCCTAGTTCTAATGTGGTCTATGTGCAAGTTTAATCACACCCTATATCTGACTACAAGGCTACATCAGAAATTGATTAGGCCTATATTTCCCAGCAGTATGTACGGTTCTTCATTTCCCCCCTGTTGCTATAGTAACATTTGCATCCTCAAAAACCCTTCCAAGGCATCATTCTCCTTCCACCCTCACTACTCCATCACTGAAATCACTGACATAGTTATTGAGGGCATCTATTGAGTCCAGCGGTGGGTAAGAGTAATCGCTGTTTAATTATAAATTGTGTTTTTAATCATCGCCGGCTGGCACTCACTCCAGACCACTAATTGCTTTATCCCCATAGGCATCTCTATTCACACTCAAGTGATGGTGCACTTATTCAAACACATTCACTCAGATGGCTTTAAGTGGCACGTGAATACAGACCATGGATTGGACTGACCCGGTGTGTTTCTTCCACTGTTTACAGAGCTTACCTTCACTTGGATCTTCAACCACTACCCCTCCTTCGTTACCCAGGATACACGACGCTTCGTGTCCCAGAAGACGGGGAACCTGTACATCGCCAAAGTGGAGCCGTCTGACGTGGGCAACTACACCTGTGTGGTTACCAACACCGTCACCAAGACCAGTGTCCAAGGCCCACCCACTCCGCTCATACTCAGGGTGGATGGTATGAGAGCTTTTTGTTTATATATAATTACAGTCTTCAGATTACAGCCTGCAAACTCCAACAGCACATAGCATAAATTATTATTATTATTATTATTATTATTGAGTATGTACTTCAAAAAAGACTGAAACTTTGCAATTGATCAGGAATTTGCAGACTGTTTTCTAGACATGAAGAGACAATACACAATGTGAAACCTGATATCCATCGCACAATAAAAAAAAACAAAAAACAAAAAAACAACAAAAAACAAAACATGTTTATTTGTTATTCAGAATGGACTCTTGTCCAGGAACTGGACTTGTGTTTTGTTTCATTCACATGCTTTAGTAACCCTTTAGTTTTAGTATGTCTACATCTCAAAATGCTCTGATAAACCTTGTAGTTTTCAAGTTTCCTTTAATTCAGTAGAGATGAGTAATTTCAGGGAGGAAATTATCCAAATAATTCCAGTGAAAGTGTGTGGAGTTGAAAAACTCAGTAGAACCTTTCCTGTATTAGCACATGACATCACAAGGTGGAACAGGTGTTTTTTTTTTCCCACTTGATGGAAAACTCATCTTAAATATGCTGTTTGTGTGTTGAACATGTGCAAATGAAACATACACAAGTCTTGATGCGGAAACAACATTATAATATAAATAAGATAGATCAGTGTAATATGCGCCCATTAAGCTTTAAACAGTATTTGTAGTAGTAGAAGTAGCAGTATTGCAAATGTGTTCATATTCCTCATTGCAAAAAAAAAAAAAAATTAAATAAATAACTTACTGAAAGAGAGATCCTATTATAACTTTTTTTTGTCTTCAATGAGTGAAAACATCTTACAATTCCAGCTGATTGTTCTTATAAATCTAACAATACCTTAATTTCATTTTGTGACCTGGTTTTACAATGCAATCAAAGCCATACATAGTCTCATTAGTCTCCCTCCGTATTTACACTCACCAAAACAGCCTGTGCTAAGAAATGAAAGTTAAGAAAAGAGTCGTCTTATTATATTTGAAAGAGGAGAAATAAATCTGTGTGGCTTTACTCCTCAGTCTGTCAAAGAGATGGAGTCTGGGCTTAAACAATACATCACATCGCATCATCAAAGTTCACTTTCAAGTCTATCTAATGCTGCATTGGAAAGAAACTCAAAGCAATAGTATCACAGAGTTAAGATGCGGCGAATCACTGGCAATAATTACAATCTTTTGATGCTCTGTGTGAGAGACTGTAGGGGTCTATTTGATACTGATGGACTTATCTCAACACACTATGATGAATATTATTTTACTTTGTTTGTTTTATGATGGAAAATTTTGACTGTGGAAAGTGATAATAAGATATGATTGATTTTTGAGAATTATTATAGTGCTGGATTGTAAATGTAGGTTTTGTAAATTATATATTGTGTAGAGGATTCTGGGCAAAAAAGTAAGAACATTCATTGTACAAATAAATGTGAAAAATATATTGAATTTTATGAATCATATTATATTTATTAGGGATGCACCGATACAATAATGGTTTTGAATATATGTGCTTATACGGTATCGGTTCCATGATATCGATTAAGCTGAAATCCTGGTTGGGCCTTTAATTGAACATAAAAAGACTATTTATAGGCTGATTTTGGTCTAGAACATCTTATAATGTTTTAATCTGTATTCATACAAAGTTGTTCAGTAGTTATGTATGGGAAAAATAACCATTCACATCACTGGTATCATTAGTATCGGGTATCAGCAGATAATTAGAGTTAAAGTATCGGTACAGGAACTGAAAAAGCTGGATCGTGTATCCCTAATATTTATACCAACACACATATATTGCATAAAAATTACCAAATGTGATATTGCAGAATATTTCTGTTAGTTAACATGATTATTATTATTATTATATATATATTTTTTTTGTATTTCTTGATTATACACAGTACTGTGCAAAAGTTATAGGCAGATGTGAGAAAAATGTTGTAACCTAGGAATGCCTTCAAAAATGGAAGTGTTAATCATTTATTTTCATCAATCAACATGCAGTGAATGAACAAAAGATAATATAAATCAATTCAATATTTGATGTGACCATCCTCTGCCTTCAAAAGAGCATCGGTTCTTCTAGGAATACTTGCATACAGTCTTTTGAAGGAACTTGCCTGGGCCATACCATTACTTCCACCACTTCTTGTTCTTCTTTATGCTGAAGATAGTTCTTCATGACTTTGGCTGTATGTTTGGGGTTGTTGTGCGGCTGCAGAATAAATTTGGGGCCAATCACATGATGGATAAGTATCTCCCTGTATTTCTCAGCATTGAGAACACCATTAATCCTGACCAAATCTCCAACTCCATTTGCAGAAATGCAGCCCCAAATGTTCAAGGAACCTCCACCATGCTTCACTGTTCCCTTTGATGAACAAACTGCTTTCTGCTACAGACAAATATTTCAAATTCTTACTCATCAGTCCAGAGCACCTGCTGCCATTTTTCTGTAAAACAGTTCCTATGTTTTTGTGCATACTTGAGTCGCTTGGCCTTGTTTCTACATCGGCGGTATGGCATTTTGGCTTCAACTCTTTCATGAAGACCATTTCTAGCCAGACTTCTCTGGACAGTAGATGGGTGTACCTGGGTCCCACTGGTTTCTGATAGTTCTAAGATGATGGCAATGCTAGACAGCTTCTGATTCTGAAGACTTACAAGCTTGATGCGTCTTTCATCTGCTGCACTAAGCGTCTTTGGCTGACCACTGCGACTACAATCCTCAACGTTGCCCGTTTCTTTGTGCTTCTTCAAAAGAGCTTGAACAGCACATATTGAAACCCCAGTCTGCTTTGAAATCTTTGTCTGGGAGAGATCTTGCTGATGCAGTATACATTGTGTCTTGTTGCTGTGCTCAGTCTTGCCTTGGTGTATGACCTGTGACATGAGACTGTCTTCCACAACCTCACCTTGGTAGCAGAGTTTGACTGTTCCTCACCCAGTTTTAGGCTCTTTCTGTTTCAGTGCATGACTGTGTTCCAACCTACGTGTGACGCTGATGATCATTAGCACCTGTTTGGTATAATTGGTTGATCATTAACTTGACTCCAATCCTCCAAAATCCCTGACTTTGTGTGTACTCCTTTGTGTGAATTGATGTTGGTTTGATAGCACAAGGTAGTAACACCAAATACTGATTTGATTTAGATTTTTCCTTTTTTGTTTGCTCACTTTGCATTTTGTAAATTGATAAAAATTAACAATCCTTATTTATATTTTTGAAAGCATTCTTTGTTCACACCTGCCTAAAACTTTTGCACAGTACTATATTTTTGCACAATAAATGAGCCACTGAAATGAATTCCTGAACTACTACTGACTAGAAGAAGTCTAAGTCAAATTTAAATTCATTCTACTATTTTGCCATCCCTGTTGAAGAACTACCTTAAACTATTATCGGTGTTAATATTAATCTTTTCTCCTGTGCAGGTGCAATGGGCGAGTATGAGCCAAAGATAGAGGTGCAGTTTCCTGAGGTGGTCCCTGTTGCCAAGAGCTCCACCGTCAAACTGGAGTGTTTTGCTCTGGGGAAGTATGTCTCTCTGTGTGTCTTTATATCACCATAACAACAACTACAACAACAACAACAACAGCAACTACAACTACAACTTCAACAACCTCAGATACTGTTTACTTCTGCCATCATACACCTCCATCATTTGGCATTTAAATGATTTGTCTAATCACAGTTATGTAAGAGGTCTTTAAGAAAGAAACCTGATGAATTACACCGCTGAATGTCTGTACATGAGATAAAAGTCTTTCATTCCCAATATTTATCTTAAGTTTTGTTAAATCATTTAGTTCATTGGTCTACATTGTGGCTAATATTTCAAGGTTATTTCTGATTGGCATTTTATTAAGACATAAGAACATAAGAAAATGTGGGCTGTCAGTACAAATTTTCATGCAGGTAGCGTCCATAGCAAAACATGATTTAATTCTCTTAAATGGACAAAACTTCTTCAGTTCTAATGGAGGTTAAATATCTCTAAAAAAAAACTGAAATGACTAAATCTGACTCGGGTGACTGTTCACACCTAAGGTGCTTCAATGGACAATACTGCTTAGTTTCAGTGTGATTAAATCCTCTTACCAGCTGCATCAGACTCAAAGAAGCTACTTTGGATGAGTATCGAAAAAAAAAAAGGCAGTTCCATAGACTGTTTATATAAATGGGCATCACTAACCTGCTAGCCATCGCAGTCCACATAGGAAGTAAGCATGGGCGCGCGTCCAGCCCCATTGGCTCCAATTCACTTTGTATTGAAAAAATGTTGCCCCTTTCTCTGTAACTGCTGTCAGGCTCCTTATTTTGGTCTTAATGTTTGTATTAACTCGCTCTGTATTATCGGTTATTTCGTCTGTATATCAGTTTCTATTCCAAACATGGAACTCGGCTCAAAATTCTCCTCTATAACTGCTTGCCTTGTGAGCTTCATTTGACTGAAGCTGAAAACTATGGGTGACATCACACTCCCGTCTAGAACCCTTCTTTATGCACTCTATGGGCAGAACTCAAACTAATGTTTGATTTTGTTCCACATTTTGTCTAAACTTAATCTCAAATTGGACATGGTGTGTCGGCACACTTTAAATAAAGTCACAATACACAAAACAAAATATTTTCAATCAATATTAATAAATACACATTAAAATTTTTGCTTAGACTTAGACCAACTTTACTGACCCACAAGGGAAGTTATTTGGACACATTAGCTCACACATCACAATATATTATAATAACAAACAGCAAAAACATAAGTAGTAATAATAATTTCAAAATAAGTAGCAAAAATAACAAGCGATTTGGTGGTATACACTGCTGTTTATCTATCTGCATTTATCATAAAGTATTTACCTCAACCTGCATTCAAATCCATTATTGATGTGGTTGTTATCATGTTGGTTTTTAATGTGGTGATTTTTTTTTTCCCCAGCCCTGTACCAACCATCAGCTGGAGGAGAGTGGACGGGGCGACTTTTGGACGTAAAGTGGATGTAAACAAAGCCAGTGGTGTGTTGGAGATCCCGTACTTTCAACAGGAAGACGCTGGAGCTTATGAATGTACAGCAGAGAACAGCAGAGGCAGGAACTCTGTACAAGGCAAACTCTCTTTCTATGGTGAGTGGGAGGGAGCTTTCTACTCACTTTGATCCCATCCTACTTTGTGTTTCTATGTTTCTAGTCTCAAGAACAAAAATATCTTGTGCTGTTAACCTGTCAGTATTATACGGAGCACATCTTGTACATTTATAGTAGTTTGCTTAGTCCTCAGCCCACTTGCCATTTTTCAAAGGGGTAACTCTGCGTACATCTTGTAGAATAGATTTTCAGTCTGGTTTGGTTTTCTACCAGCCCAGTTCTATGGAAAGGTTTGCTGAAAGTTTGGGTATATCTTTTCATAATCTCAAAATCTCAAACTTGGTTTTATTTGACCGTTATGTTGATACAAAAGGAGTTCTAATTACATATATTTTTAAATACTTTTCCACATTAATGTAATTTTGTTGCCAGAAAGTCCTTAAGTGTGGCATTAAACATGTATCACCATGGAGACGAGATAGAAGTTACAGGCCAGATGTTTTGAGAGTTGTGGCCCGCTAACAATAAGGTTATGTATTTTGAGTTATGTAAATATAATTAAATACATTCAAGAGAGACATGTTTAATACTACTGTAGAGCATTCAAGGTAAAGCAATAACATCTCCATGGAGACAAGCAGGTGACAAACACCCCACCAGAAAAGTTACATAGTGCACCTTTAAGGAGCCCCTACATGTTCATTCATCATGCAAATCAGTGTTTCCCACTTTTTTCTGGGGACCCATATTTTAAAATTCACAAACCTTTTCGACCCAAGTCAATAGACAGTATTCCTAAATCACAAAATAAAGGTGGATTTGACCATTATTGAACAGTAACGAGGACCTTTTATTGTTGTCTGAGTGATCGTGTCTCTCTGTACAATTAGTATTACTCAAGTTTTAAACAATAAAAAACATTGAGCCAGCAATAAAAGGCAGAGGTGGAGATTTGCAAGTTGTGACTTGAACTAGAGTCAGACTTGAGTCAATATTTTTAGGACTTTAGGCTTGACTTGATAAAATGGTCTAAAACTTGGGACTCAACTTGGACTTGAAGGTCAGTGAAGCATTTTAAAATCTGAATTCTTTCTTCTGTTCTGACTGTAATGATTCACACTAAGATCTTGTCAAGACATTTAAAAAAGAAAAAAAATGCATTTCTACTGCTCTTATATATACACACACCATGACTTTTTATTTAATTTTGTTTAAAATTCATATAAATTGAAAAAATCCTAGCTATATTTGGTACTTTGGTTACTTTCAAAGCAGACAACTTGGACTTGACTTGGACTTATGGGCCAGTGACTCAAGACTCGACTTTGACTTGCTTGTATTTGACTTGGGACTTGACTTGGACTTGAGGTCAAAGACTTGAGTCTTACTTGAAACTTGCAAAACAATGACTTGGTCCCACCTCTGATAAAGGTATCCATCAATTAAATTTCTTTTTCTTTTCAACATTCAATTGAATCAGCAATATTGCAACCAAATAGTCAATAAAATAATTACAGAAAGATTGGAAACTATACAAAACACGCAGATGCATGCAGACTGTGACAAGGCGACCCCCCCAAAAAAAAATCTCTGATGATGATGATGTAAATAACTAGAATTGCAAGTTTTTTCATCTCCAGTTTGGACTCACATTATCCTTGGACATTTATTTCAAGGTTCACACAATTAGCTTAAGTAGGGTTGTTAAAAGTAAATTAGTACTGAACAGTTACTGATAAAAAGTAATAAAAAGTGGTCTGCGGTGAACAGATTTGATATAGTTCTCTCTTTTTGCCCAGCCTGCCTCCCTGCAGGCCTCGGTCAGATGGCACTTGTGATTGAACATCTCACCATATGAACGCCGGACTTGGCACTGGTTTCAATGCGGCTGTAACAAAAGAATTTATTTGTTGTGCAGCATCTTGAGGCTTTTATTAGAAACCATAAATAACAGCATCATATCACACACTAGTTATAAATCAAACCATTAGCCGTATACTTCATCTCTGACAAGGGCCTTTATTATGCTAGCGGCTAACACGCTACTACACAGATTTACACCACCTTTCAGCCAGGCCTGATTTTTCACCGGACTTATAGCCTACATTCTCCGAAAAGCTGTTAATACGCTTTGATGAAGGATTTCTATGGTCTCAGCTCCTATTATTTTGTACTTTATGCATTTATGATGTGTGCCCAGCAGGCCCTGTAGGGAAGTGCTTGACTCAAATCATCAAATCTCGATTTCTCCTTTCCAGTGAAGGAGGGAGCCTTTGATATGATAATACATTTTTGCAGCACCTGTGGGTAAGATGAAATGTGAACGCTATAGCTGAGGCAGACCGGCGGATTAAACATGCTTTACCTTCAAGAGGAATGTCTGTTCTTATAGCGCAGCAGCTCGGAGCCCAGAGGAGCAGGCCCAATAAAACAAAAGCCAGGGATAATTGTGGTAATTTCACTATAGCGACTGCCCTCCCTGGTCCAATTCTGGTGAACATTCAGCCCCGATCTGAATTGTTCATGGCACTTAAAGCTGAAAGAGATTCTGACTTAGAAGCAGGGGATTTCCATGTAGCGTGGAAAGAGCCAATATCTCGAAGCAGCAAGGAAGATAAGAGTGCTTTACTTTTCACCACTATAGAGCCACACAGTCTAGTTATGTTACACTTAGAAAATTATTACGTTTCGTAGTTTTGCTTCTCAAAAACAACCTCTCTAAACTTGGTTATCCTCCAGTAGTCTATCATCAATGTAATAAATGAGCTGGAAAATCTGAAGACGGGATACAAATTCACAGTTTGTTTTTGCAAATCCAATCAACACGCTGTAGATGCAACACAGACCCTCTGTAAAATGAGTTTTGAAAATTGACCAAATGTTTTGCTTAAAAAACATGTTTTCAAAAATGATTCATATTGGACAGGATAAGGACTGAAAACAGTGGAAAATAATTTTCTGTAGTGGGTTGCAGTTTCATATTTCGTTGTGATGTGGATGATGATAATGATGCCTTTTGTGTTATTAGGTGACTGTTGTCAATACTCATTGATAAAGCAGTGTTTTTCAGATTATCATATTTTCAGATTAAGGTTCAGTATAATGGTTATGTATTAGTATGTATTAGTATTATGATCACTTGTGGTCATTTTCTAAGTCCGCCAAGGTTACAGAAGAAAATTTCTCCTTCATTTTGCCCAAAGAATACTGAGAAGCACAGCAGAGGCAAACCTGCTATGTTATCACGCAATTATTTTCAACATAAAACCCCATTTCAAACTAAAACAATCAGCCAATCTTTTAATAACTTTCAGTTTCAGAGGTTTTAGAAACATGTTTTAAATACCAAATGAGGTTTTGGTTTTAACCTTAGTGCCTCAAATGCTTCTTTAACGTGTCAAATTGAACACTCACTGTAAATTAAACCAGGTTCATTTCAGTGCAAGAAGTTAAGTTTGATGACCAGAATAAAACTAGTATGCGAATAGTTTCAGAAGTCTAACAAAAGTGCTTCATTCCCAAGGTGTTCTGCAGCTCTAAAACAGCTCTCCCTTTGCTCAAGCAGGTTGGATCAGGTTGGACACAGTTCAGAGGAGGTCAGATGTTGTACAACTGTGAAACAAAACTAACAAGTGATCCTGGAACTCAAATTGAGCAACGGGGGACTGCAGTCTGAAGCTGTTCCCTCTAGGTAGTCCAAAAAGTTGAGTGTCCTAGTTCCACATCTTATCAGCACCTCCGCCGTGTGCTAGTCAAGGCGGCGCATACAAGATTTAGGTGCTGTCCCCTCCCCGAGTCGAGCAGACATTTGGGCCAGCTGCCAGGTGATAAAAATCTGTAATCTCATTTTAAACTGCCATAGATGGAAGCTGGTGGGACATCCATCAAGAAGAGAAACCAACAGGAGAATCGATAAAGAGGATGTGGCTTGTGACGCCCAACCAAAGCAGCACTGGAACAACGAGCGGGGCAATAAGGCTACACGGTCGATTCCACACTTAATTGTCCTTCTGTATTTCACTAGATTTATTAAATTAGATCATGTGTTGTGCGCTTGACTGCATTTCAATGGGCAGGATCAGGGTCATTTTGTATAGAGGCCACTCATGTTGGGGGTTTATTATGTTATCTGCAGTGGCCTCATTTGTAACGGGGCAAACGGCTGCATTGTGTTATTTGACATTTTGAAGCTGTTCCAAAGATCTAAATGTCATGAATCAAAATAGATGAAGTTATATTTTATGGGTGTTTCAAAATGTTGTCTTAAAGGTTTTGTACCAGATTTTTATTGTTATGAAAAACAGAATTTGTTCATTTTTAATGGTTTGCAATGGTCCAACGTTATTCCTCACTTACCTTTTGCATTCTGAACATCTTAGTTTGAGTGTATCAGTGCTTTTCTACTTTCAGAGGCTAAAGTAGAGTTTCTATTCACAGTAAAGGCAAGGACAACTAGCATGCCAACAGCTCTCTTTTTGATTACAACTAAGGTGCCTGTTGCAGTTTTAAAGTGCCTTGTTGAAAGCCATCCCATCATTGTGTACTGTAGATATTAGTTTATTATAGTATTGGTAGATATTGTAGTATTGAAGTTACATTTTACAGTAACATGGGTTGCCAAAACTACTGCTTTGGTGTCTGGAGTGTCCAGGATCTAAGGCTATGTTCAGACTGCAGCCTGAAATGACCCAAATCAGATTTTTTTTGCCCCTGTGTAACCTATATCTGATCTTTTAATGACAGTTTGAATGACACAGATCTGATTTTTTCAAATGTGGTCCTAAAACCGATACATATCTGATCTTTTGATGTGCAACTTCAGTCTGAACGGTCAGCTCGCATTCATCCCACCTGCACATCAGGCTTGGAGTCTTGTCAATGGAGGGAAAGCGAGGTTAGCAATTTAATTAATACTTGGGGGGATCACTGTATTCACGCCAAATTGGAGGGGTTTTATCAGAACTGGACTTGACTTTTTAAAAATGATTACCAAAGAAATGGGCACACGTGGCTACAGGTGGTCCTGGCTCCAATTTCATCGAAAAATAAAGAGCCTGGACCATATTTTGGGAGACAAGCCCAGTGTTAGGCAACTTCCGTAAACACTGAACATGCTGTCTGCGTGTGACGCCGTCGTGTCCTCCAGTGCGCAGGAAAGACACTTTTGAGGAGTTTAAAGTTCACACTGTAATCCACATACAAGTCCCATTGAATTGGGAATTTGAACGACCTCGCAAAAAATCAGATTTCACAAAAAAAAAAAAAAAAATCCAAATTGAGCATTAAGCCCTGCAGTCTGAACATAGCCTAAAAGTAGTCTAAGAAAGTCACAGTAAACTGAAGAAATGATGCACTTGGGTCATCACAGCAGCTGTTGAGGTCTGAAGAGACTAGTTACTGTCACAATGGCATTATATTTTATTTAAGGTCAAGTTTTATATTGAAGGTGAAGGCAATGCTCTTTCTATATCTTTTTCTTGTTGTGAGAGAGATACTTAGTCACATGGCTGTAATGGATCACATGTTTTGCCCTGTCTTTTTGATTATGGTAATATTTAAATATGGAAATGAAGCGAATGTTTCCCTCATTCTATTCTTCGGTGTTTGTCTGAGTTAAAATGCTCTTTGACTGAGTCAGACAGGACTTAAGGCAGAGCACGGCGCTGTGTTACTAAAGATAGACAGTACACTGAGAAATCATCAGCAGGAGACCCTCATTTATTGCTGCTGCATTTTTAGCTTCCAGACATTTTTGTAAAGGTTTAACAAGGACACTTCTCCGAGCAGCATCTGACAAAAGCACATAATGAACTCCGCTCCTGACAACATTTTAATCCTACCTTCAAGAGCACTGAGTGATTTGAGCAGCATCTCTCTGGCTCAGGTTCTGGGTCTGGTTTGTTTTGGATGTAATTGTGGTATCTGTCCAGGGTCAACAACATAATGAGACCTAACCCAGTCTGCCAAATACATGTGGTTAATGTGATGCCTCGTCACTAATGGCTTATTATTGGGGAGTAGATAGATAAACATCAGGGTTAGAGGTAAGGTTATGTTTTTACTCTCAGGCAACCCAAACCAATTGTAATACTGTTAATATCCAAACTCCACACTTACCTGTAATGCAAGATATTTTAAATGAAGTAGGATATTTGGCTTAGTTAGTGATGTGATAGGAGTAATATGTTGTCTTGAACCAGTCTCATATAGTACGACTTTCCGCGTTCTGTATAATACAAACCTTTTTGTGACCTAGTTCAAACAGTTACCTTAAATTTACAATATTTTCCAAACAAACCTTAACAAAACAAGTAAAATTTCTTCAAACTATGAAAAAAAAACAATATTGAGACGTTGTGGCAACATTTGAGTTAACTACATGAAACTTGAAAAAAAAGACTAGTATATAGAATTATTCTGGGTTAGGAACTAATGCCATAACCCTAACTCATTAATTTGAACCCACTGATTGTATAAAGAAGTGGATTAAGGGAGTGTGATGTCACCCATAGGGAATCACCCTCAGTTACTCTCTTAAAGTTATAGGGGCCAATTTGTAGCCTAGTATCATATTTGGACTTCTGACCGTGAGTATCACAGCAAAGAGCCAATCCAGAGCAAGGCCACTGAAGGAGACGCCCCTTCCCGCCTTTATTGCTGGTTTAGCAGGGAGCGGCACTTAGACACTTGTTGCTAACACTAGAAGGGGTGACCTCAGGGAAAGGCGTCTTATTTGTCTGTTATTAATGTTCATATCTTGATTTATGGACAAAATCGCAAGATAAAAACACCAGGATCATGTAGAGCGGATTAACACGAACATTTTAAGACCAAAATAATGAGCCTGACAGCAGGAAGAAGGGTGAAGGTTTTTGAAATTGAAAGTGAAGCCAAAGCTAATGGAACCGGAAGCCCATGCTCGCTTTTCCTATTTTCTATTTTCCTATTTTCTATTTGGAACGCGGCATCTAGCGGGGTAGCTCTTATATACACCTCTTAATTAAGTCTTTATATATAACCCTCTCTCCTTCTCTGTACATAACCAGTCTTTAACCCCTTAATTAAATAGTCACGCCATGTTTTATTAGGACTATAAACAGTGTAGCTATTATTCCATTCAAGCACAACATAACCATTATATAACATTGTGAATGAAAAGTGCAACATATTTTCACTTCATCTAGCTATAGACCTCAGACTGAAGCCCAGAGTTTGGGTTGAATTTAAGCATAAACAAAATATTTACAGAGTTGGTCGCTCGTTATAATGGCAGAAAAAAAACTGTGACAAACAAGTGCCTGCCTCCCCTTGACCCTGACAGTGAGTTATTATTTATGGCTCTGCTGCCTGAGCTCCATAAATCTTCACAGAATGTCGCAACAGATAAGGTGCTAGTCATTACTGTGGCACCAGGACCACCACCATAAATAAACGGCCCTTTTCTCTATGGATTTCTGAAGACAACGGGGAATAAAAACGTCTTATTAGCTTCTTCACTGTCAAAGAATTATAAGCCTGTAAAATGCGAGAATTGTGTTTCAAGTCATTCGAAGAAATCCTCAATGTTTTTGAACTTTTAACCTAATCAAGAATTCATTACTGATCATCACTTCTATTTATTTTTGCTGTTCAGGGTCAGAATCAGGTTAATTTGAAGTGGATTTATAAATTTACCCTCTAAGGTCTTTTTAATGGAGTAATTGACTGCTTGGTTGATTCATTGATTTTGCTTTAAAAGGTTGTGAGCTGATCAGGCATGTAATAATAGGCCAACTGTAAATCGTGTGTATGTTTTGTGGTCCCCAGCTCCGCCTCATCTGACCGAGAAGCCCCAGGATGTGCAGATGACCATAGATGAGAATCTGGTGTGGGAATGTAAAGCCAGTGCCAAGCCCAAACCCTCGTACAGGTGGTTAAAGAATGGAGAAGCTCTGGATCCCATGGAGGTAAGGGAAGAGTGGGGGAATACTGTTAAGGTTCACTATGTAACTTTTCAAATCAAGAGTTTACCTTCTGTATGTGTCCATGGAGATGTTGACTTGAAATGTTTCACAGTATGGCATCAAACATAGCAAATGGTCACACTAGAATCACCCTGCCAACCTGTGGGTCAGTGGATCTACCAACACTACCAATTGAACAACTGTTGCCCCCAACTTATTGATCTTTTAGGCGTTTAATTGCAAAGAAGAAATAATAATTCTTGCATTAATAAGCAGGTACACCTCTTAACAGTTTTCATAGTACCATTTGTAGATAAAATACTATACTTTGCATTACAAGCAATAACATCTTCAAGGAGACAAGCAGGTTTAGATGCTCCCTTTTAAGGTAGACATTTATTTGAGGAAATAAAACACAGTGCGTAATTTTTTACATGAATGTGCCCTAAATACAAGACCCAGGAAAAACTGAGAATGGACACAAGAGGGACACCGCTTTCAATATTTTAGTGCAAATTGAGGTTTTTTTCCACTAGGTACTTGTACCTGTTTTTTGTTTAGTTTTTCTTGACAATGTGCTGCGGATAAAAAACAATTATTATTTTCAATTTGCAACATACAGGGAAAGTACAAACAACATTTCAAAAGAATGGTACATTTCAGCCCAAATAACTTCTATACAGAAAAAGTTTCTCAGCTCTGAGTTAGTCACAAACCTGAGTTGGCTTGCCTTGTATTTTTCTTTGGTGAAACATAACATATTTGTAACGGGACTTGTTGAACTGAAATGTTAGTTTGTATGTGGTCTGATCCTTTCAAAGGCCTTTCTACAGTCTTGACCAGATAATTGTAAAGCACTAGTTAAAGTTCTGTCCTCAGGCTTTAATAGTGTTCCTGTGTTGTTAAAAACATGTCAAAACATTTCCCTGTGCTGATGACTGACCACTAAGTGAAGTAGAGAGATGAAAGTGGATAAGATTACAGCTTGCTTAAGCGCAGCAGCTGCATGCATTGTCCTGATGGAGTTGGAGCAGTAATGGCGGCTGCTCACAAGCTGGTCTTGGCACCAGTGTGTCACTTTGAAAAGGCTGCGTTTGCCTGGGAGTAAATCTGGCATCTGAACTAGAATGTGTTTGTGAAGGGGAGACTGTTTGTATGTTTTGTTGCAAAGGAGCCAAAGTGATGCCATTTTGTGCCTGTCGTCAGCCAGAGACTTGACAATTTAGTGCTCTCCCCTCCACTATCTCTGTCTCTCAATTTTATCATTAAGTCAGCGCAAAAATGCCTCATCATCCAAAATGCATTTCACATGCGGGCAGCCGGCCTTGTTTTGTGTGAGTGTGTGAGTGCGTAAGCTGTTTGCCTAAAAAGCACAGCTACAGTGATTCACAGTCGCACACTATGTGTGTGTTCGGTTTGTGTAATGAGACCATGCACGATATGCCTGATACTGTTTTGTTTGACAAGTTTCTTATAAAGGATAAGAAACGCTTTTGGTCTTTGACAACAAAGTAAAAGCTCAGCAAATAGTGGAAATCCAGAGCTTTTTAATTACAGATTTTTACAACACTCCCAACTCAAGCACAGTTTTACTGTTTACAATATGTTACCAAAAATGAACTGCTTATTCTCAGTGGAGGTGAACACAGTATTCCTATGGGAATTAGACACTACTGTATATTCTTACTAATTAATCACACGACTATCAGAGACGAGCCCTGGCAGTACCCACACCCCATCACGTTGCTATGGGCAATTAAGATGACCAATTAAACACTTGGGCACATTGTATTCATTCATTCATCCTAATTATGATACATGCATATAGTTACTGGGTTTGGCAGCCTGCATAATATAAACTGGAAAACAGCTCATTTAGAGGCTTATACAGGTAGCAAACCATTTAGTTTCACATGCATTCGGTATAGGAAAATTAGACTGATCAAAGCATTTCATTAGAATACATAAATTATACATATACAATATAGACCTCTATTACCTGGTGCAGCTGGTAACATTTCTGTACAATGTGGTTATGCACTGTTTCTGGAAGTCAAGAAAAATGAGAACTGTTGTTTACTAATATTGACATTTCCGTGGAGAAAAGGTCTGAAAACACATTATTGTCATCATCATACCCATCTCCACCCCGCTCAAATCTGGTATTTTCTTAATTTAAACAGCAGATAAAGGTCATTTCTTTTGGCCACACACTTTAACCACAGGAAGCCCTCACTGCTCCACCTGTGCGTCTCTTGTATTGATTTGTAAATAACATTGTAAAATTCTTTGGGCGGGTGGCCAAGGTAACATATTCTCCGTACATGTGGCTATATTAATGAGGTGGGGTGTTACCATTTTCAAAATGCCACCATCAACAGCGGCAACAGTAAATCAATTCCCAAACCCAAAGGTCAGCCATGTTGAGAGAGGCAGGAGAGGGGAGAGTGCGGGCCACCATTTGTTATTCCTCATTAGAATGGATCAGTCCTGCTTCTTCATGCTCCTTCATCACACTATCTCTTTCTTAGATTTTTATCGCCTCTGGCCTCTGTGCTTCATTGTGGCTCCCCTCTGAGGGCATTAAATGGCACAGAGGAGGCCTGTCACTTTCAAATGTCACCCCGGTGAAACAAGGGCCCACTCAGCCCTGTACTTTTCCACTCTGCTTCGGCCAGGGCCAGATACAAGTTTCAAGTACAAAGCCTCCCCAAAGACAGGTGTACAGTGGAATACAGATATTCAGTGTATTCAAATAAGTCATAAATCAAGGGCAAAGTCCAAGGTAAAGGAATAGAAGTGCATTAGGAGGGAGGAGCCGCACTCTTCGAATGGCGTTACTACAATTTCATGATTTTTGCCTGATTCTGACGGCTCGTACACCTATTGTGCACGTATACTGAAACAAACTAAAGGAACCAAAAACAGCTTTGAACCTTGTGAACTACTTACAAGAATAATGTTTTGTTTCAGTTCAGTGTGGTTTGCGGTGCAGTAAAGTTCATGTTGTACAATGCAGATCTCATAATGACTATATATAAACTCTTTCTTAAATATAGTTGTATCTGCAGAGCTTTTGTAGGGCAGGTCAGTGCAGGGAGCAGCAGTGGGCTCTGTGCTGGCCTCTCCTCCGCTGCTCGGAGTTGTACGAGAGGAGTCAGGCATAATTAATGAAGGCCACGAGGCAGAATGCCAGCATTTGTGTGCAGCGCTAAAGAGGACGTGATGGAGTCACCAGTGATTTTGCAAAGGTTCAGAGCACTGGATACAAAACATGCACTGTGGCACAGCCCTGCTCTTACACTCCTCTCTTTCATCTGCCTGCTCCCGGGGGCCGTGCTCTGTGGAACCTAAAAGAAGCAACTCTATTCAAAGTTGCTCTTTCTCTCTAACCTGTTATCTTCTGCTTGTCCTTTTTTTACTCTTGAACATACAGTACTGCATGTGCTACTGCGGACTGTCCCATATCTGATATTTGTCTCACTGCTGTGGTCAGTAAAATATGTTTGTTGATCCATCTCAAAGCCCACAGGTTTATGTTCCGTTACAGAAAATATTACAAATGAGCCTTCCATTTTTGAAAATATATTTGCAAATAAATAAACACATAAATAAATAAATAAATACATGTATTTATTTGGGATATAAAATGAATTGTTGCATAAATGTGTATAACAAAGACCTATGTTTAGCCTATTTCTAAAAGACAAATAGCTTGCATTGAGTACAGACTGGTAATGACCCAGAGAAAATATCAATATCAGTATTCTAAGAGACCCTCCGATGTCACCGATACCAACACTAAAACAGATATTTTGCTTATTCCTTCAATAAACCAAATCCTAAATCGTAAAGAACTTGGGAAGTGCCCTCTAGTGGATGGCTCTCACCAGGTCAGCTGTGGCCGGCTGTTATGTTCTTGAGAGAAACCTTCTGAACACAGTCTGACTGATGTTAGGGGACAGAGCTTGTCTTTTCTAGTGGCTCTGCAGTAATGACAGGGACCACAGGCACGCCGGCGCCAGGACCCTCTGGACTACTTTGTCAGTGACATTAAAAGGTCCGGCTGCACTCGGAGGGAAAGATCAAGGGCGAGAACAATGAGCGCTGCCACACTTAAATTGACACGGCTATAAAGAGGGAGTGTGGCAAAGCACCAAAGGTCAAAGCGACGCCGAGGAGAACACTTCAATTTGGTTTTATTATTGTAATGCTGCTGTGTGGGCGTTTTTAATAGGCCTGTCATGATAATTACTAAAACAACTTCCATAAATGATAGATAGGGTGATATTTTTTAAGGATCTGTATTTCAAATTCTATGATAAATTACACATACACATTAAAGGACCAATATTACGTTATTTACTGATCTGTTATAATGTTGTTTCCTCATCCCAATTATACCTGAAATTGTGTTTTATTTCATTCACTGTATATTTAGGCTAAAGTCTATGTTCCACCTTGAGATGTCATGTGGTAATACCATAGAACTATAATAAACTCTGGAAGGTTAATCCAAAATGGCATTGTATTGTTTTCAATGGCCTATGCTCAATGGTGCCGCATTTACTTCCTCAGTAGGTAGGTTGTAGGTAATGTGAACAGCGTGGAGCATTTGGACCAATCAGAAAGAGAGTTTATGTTGTGAAAATAGAAAAGAATCCCTACAAAATCCGACCTTTGTGAAAGTTGCCCTGCCAGCTGAACACGGCCCGTTTAAATTAGCAAAAAATGCATTGTACTTCTATGGGAGAATTCTTTCTGGGCCTAAGCTCCCGGGAGCTGCAGTACCAGTACCACGAGTGCCTTATCCAGTCTTTATTATAGATCTGTAGGTAATACATTAAGTGCTCCACTGTGTTTTTAAACTCTGTATACACCTTCACTAGAATAATTTGGATGATTTCAGCCTTGGAATTGCCAGTCACTACTAGAGTAGTTTAAAGGTAGCTGTTAACTTGAAAACTACCACCAGATGACATCACAAAGTGGAACAGAGCATTTTGAGCTTTGGATATGTAGACAGACAAATTAACCAGAATTACTCAAACATGTGTGAATGAAACAAAACACAACTCTCCTTTTGAGGAGATAACAGCATTATAATTTAAAGCTTAAAGTTCACAAGTCATTTTTGTGTAATAAAGGCCCTTTAAAAATTTTATTTTTCCCCAAGTATTTCAGAAAAATTTGTCTAGTCACAGTAAAGATATATTATACATGCAGCTCTGTAAGGGCTGTGAAAAGCTCTTATAAACTAATCACAGGAAATAATTAAGCTGCTCTGAATGCATAAGGTAAGTGAGGAATAACTGCAACTGGTTTTTGTTTTTCACATTTTTAAGAGGTTCAGGTATAGTCTGGCTGTTTATTGCTCATGTTTTTATATTGTTCACTTAGAAAGGGGTTATGGATTATTGTGCTTTAGGCTTATTGTGCCAGTGGCATAAAGTAGTTTCAATATTACTGTTTATTGTTATTATTCAATATATCGCAAAATATATGTTAGTGTTAGTGTTATATGTTATATGTCAAAATATGTTAGTGTGTCATGCCTACAGATAAGCATACATTTACTTTTACATGCTAACAACACTTTTTTCCCACCCCAGCCTATACTACTCTGTGAACCTGATTCTACATCTTATTTCCTGATGAATCCCTCTGAGGTTTGAGTCGAACCAGCGTTTGATAATGTCTCTGTGCTCTGTTACATCTATTCACCACGGGCCTATTACAACTACTGAAAATTAGCACTGTTTCAATTATCAACCCCCTGAGGAAGGAGAAAGTGTGGCTAAAGCTTGAATTAGATCAGCCCATTTATCAGAATGAACACAGCTGGCATGGTCCTGCTTTAAGTGCGTGCATATAGCCCTAATTACAGGCCTACAGGCACTTTGAGTTCACACAAGTCAGATTAACACATTTATGTGACATTGTGTTAAGGCACTAATTGGGCTGTTGCTGTTTTTTTTTTCGTTTATAATGATTCTTGTCTTGTTTTAAAAAGTTCATTCATTGTTACTCGTTTTTCAAAATAATGGACTTTGGGCCAAGCCACTCCACTGCTGATTGCAGTTGGGTTTAACTGAAGCCACATGCAGTGGTTTTGTGCTCCAACCAAATATTTCTGCACAGCTGAATTAACAATCAATCATTGGGGTTTCTTACTCTTAATTCTAGCAGAAAATTGTCAATTTATCAGTAGGAAAAAAAACAGTTTAACTTTTAAGTAACTTAATTTTTTGTCACATTGGTCCACCTTAGTTAAACTCACTTAAACTCACACAAATCATTACTTCTATTACACAGTACTGAGATCTAGCATTAGAATATTGAAATTACCCACTATTATACGTTGTTGGGGATGTCCCTATATCATTTTTATTTGGTGTACAATTGTGAGAAGAAACATAATAAAAATAAATACATCTAAAATTTGCAGTTACTATTATTTCCTGTACCAAATTACCTTGACTTCTCTATTAATTCATTATATTGTACTAATTAATCATGTACATAATATGTCAAGTGTGCTATAAAATAAAGTTTTTGAAGCTTCATTTTCAAACACCCCTGTGTATTTTTTCCCCCTAAACGTGTTCGTTTACAGCTCTATTCTGCATTAGAGCAGAGGTGAAGAGCGGGTCTGATTGCTCGTGCACCCTGGGCTTTATGGGGGCACATTTACACACAGGAGGCACCCAGTGGAGCGTGAGGGTGCTGACGTGTTCACCTTGTCTGAAGTACTTTGTTTGTGAGCTGCAGGTTAGCGCGGCGCCCCCTCTCCTCTTTAATATGTATGTGCGTCTGTGTGTTTGTAACAGGACAGGCTTCAGGTGAGCGCTGGAGTGCTGACCATTAGCAGTCTGAATCTGGCTGACATCGGCATGTACCAGTGCGTGGCCGAGAACAAGCACGGACGTGTGTTCACCAACGCAGAGCTCCGAGTCATCGGTAAGACAGGCATGCATGTGTGTGGATGGAATAACAGTGCAGGGCAATAAGGGCCGTTTATTATTGAGAATAATGTGCTTCATTTGACTACTGATGTCACAATACTAATATTTCAAACTCCATTTCAACACAGAAAAGGTTTGATGCCAAATTTACCAAATTGTCTTTTGGATAATAGATGTTATTTTAACATAAAATATATTTTTTTGAGTTTTACTATTTACATATTCTTTAACATGTGATTTGATAAAAGTTCTGATATAGATCAAGATCATCCTTAAAATGTCCACTTGTCCTGCTGGACTTGGTTTAAGCAAGTACAGCAAGACAAGTGTTTTTGTCCTGCTGTACTCCTCGTTTAGTCCAGTTTTTGTGTTACGATACAAAAAGGCAACAAGCAGGTATTGAAACAAGACCATCCAGATTAAGGGTGCAATCACACTTACTGTTACCACATCTAAATTAGTTCCAAAATAGTACTAAATCTAGAGCACTACCAGAACAGCACCAGGACTAAACAAGGTGTAAAACAGGAAAAAAAAAAAAAAAAAACAAGAACAGGGCTAGGACAAGTGTAAATGTACCCGAACAAATACTGACTTACAGGTGGATGCAACATGTGACATATAAGAGGTACATAAGGCCATCATGTAAACTTGGAATTATCACTTTAAAAAGTAGCAGTAATTCCATCACCATATTTATGTGCACCATGCTATTTTGCAATTGATCTCATATATTGTTTTGTAAAAAAGCAATATGAGTGTTACTAAATTTAGAAAATAGATGCCGATGTGTATTGTGCTCTTTGATAGCATGTTGATTGAGTGGGAGACTCCAAAGCTCTTCAGAGACTTGTTTTTGAGCACCATGTTTTTCTCTTCCTCTTGACATTTGCGAAGAGCATATTTTGCACTTTTCTCAACATGTAGCGTCCTCATTATCAAACACTGCTGGATAAAGAACATAGAATTTCATACACTGCAGTAAGTAAATGGTTACACGAATATGAGTTTTAGATACCACATTTTTTATCTTGCAACTGATCTTTAAAAGTATTCAGAAGAAATGTGAGCTTAAGAAGTCAAAACAAGAAAATGTTCTTGTGACAAGAAATTCTCTAAGAGAAAACAGCAAGTGGATTTACCGCACTTTCCACATTCTTCTGACAAAGTTAAGACGATCCAAGAGCCACATCATGAATGATTTTGTTCATTTTGTCACTATCTAACATACTATGCCCAATAACATGTTAAATTATAATGATGTGCTTTGGCTGTATCATGCTGTCTTATCTGAAATGGTTGACAGTTCACTTCCACTGTCATTATTATTATCTTATTATTCTATATTTGTTAGGGGTAGAGTCCATTCTTTGTATGAAACGAGCACCCTGCTTTGAATGTAATGAAAAAATAACATTAAAAATTATTTTAAAATAAATAAAATATATTGACTAAGTACTTCGAGGATCTTGTGAATCTTATAAAGCCAAAGACACATGTGTAATTTTCTTTGTAAAGTCACTCCGTATCATGGGAGCTTTAGATGAGACCTTTAAATAAAATCTTATTACCAACATGTGTTTTTAGCAATAGTTAATCCATCTGAAATAATGTTTGTCAGATAATGATTTAACAATGTTTCTGTAATTATTTCAACTTCTCCAATTTATAACTCCTCATAAATTTCTTTTCTCTATTAAACTGTGACTAATTTGTGAAATACAGTTGGAAAAAGAATAAATCAAACTGGAATACTAAAGTTAAGGTATGACAGCAATGACATCTCCTTCCATCTTCTGTGTCACTTAATGTGTGCTGTTGTTGTTTGTGTTACAAAACGTCTCCAAGTGCTCTGGCTGGAAATCTGTAATAATCTCACAATAATCTTACCACAAACATTTGTCATACCTGTGGTACCACTGCCTGACCAGCCAGTCCTTTATGTTGTTTCCCCCCTTTTTTATGTGTAAGCAGCCATGTTTTTGATTAGTTAATCTGCCTGTCAGTCACAGCCTCTGAAATCAGGGACACAAGGATACAGCTCTTGTCTTTGTAAAGTTTAGTCAAAGCATGTGGTTGTGGCTGGTCAGGTAAGTGTTCAAGTGTTGTATATGTTATAATAGGAGATAGGCTTGTCTCTGTCAGTGGAGCCGGGCTGTGGATCCACTTTGAAGAGCATTGTGCTGACTAGGGACTCATAGCAAACACAAGCAGACGCCAGAGTCATTAAAGGAGCATATACAAGCCTGCCCCTCCTTTTACACACGTTCAGATAGACTATGGAGGATCATCCTTAATACAGAATGTCCCTCTGGAGAATATGTACAGGATTAAGGAAAACACCAACATAGAGCTTTTATTAAATTAATGTACTTTGCTTTTTATCCCATTCTTTTGAGACATATGTTTTAACAGGACTGACCTAACTAATGGAAACTGTGACCCTCTGTTTTTATACCTTTCAGTAAATACATTTTCACACTTGTGTGAAAATGGAATGAAAGGCTTCATACATGCTAACTGAAGACCAATGCTATCCAAGCCTTGTTTGACCTATACGGAATGAGGCATTAACTAGTAGTAGTAGTAGTAGTAGTAGTAGTAGTAGTAGTAGTAGTAGTAGTAGTAGTAGTAGTAGTAGTAGTAGTAGTAGAAGTAGCAGTAGCAGTAGCAGTAGCAGGTGAGGCCATTTTAAAAATTGTGTTTTGATCTTTACCCACTTTGTTCAGATTTTGTTGTGCTAGAGGGATATGAGACTACCAGTGTGAGACACTAGTGTGCTTGGAGGTAGTATCAGGCGTGCCAATGTCCAATTTCCCTTATCACACAGATTTAATTGAATAAATTAACATCTTGGAAGGTCCTGAACAGACTTCTGATCCAAAAAAAAAAAAAAAAAAGCAAATCAATCCCCATAACAGACTCTAGACTCAGGGACATGGACAAAATTTGCTACTTTTACACCAGTTTTTTTATTTTCTAAAAGGTGTGATTTGATCATATTTTAGTAGATAGTGTGCCACAAAATCATTTCAACCAAAAAACTGTCATGACTCAAAAAATGTCGAAAAGCACTGATCTTGCTGGTCTGACATCTCAGCAAAGTCACTGATCAAATATTAACGATAACATTACTATTGCCTAGACATCTATTGATGGGTTCTCTATGTGAAACATTCACCATAATAAAAAGTGTTTGGTACATCCATCTTGAAGCACTGTCCCTGTTATCTCCCCCTCACAGCCATCGCTCCAGACTTCTCTCAGAACCTGCTCAAGGCCCAGACTCTGGCCCGACTGGGCGGCGACATCTTGATCGAGTGCAAGCCTCGGATGTCTCCTCGGGGCGTCATTTCATGGAGGAAGGGCAAAGAGGCGCTGCGAGAAAGCCACAGGTATCCGCTTTTAGCCTACACTGTATTTGCCACAATGAAAATGTTTTGTATACATAGTTAAGCTCATCTACCTCACTTTGGCGTCAGGTTCTTAATTGCTCCCAGCTTGGTATTCGCTGTGTCAGACTGCGGTGGAAAACATATGACACAGTGCTTTCTGATTTGCATTTGAGTAGAGTAGCTAAAAAGTTTACTCAAGTAAGAGTAATGTTATTTCAAACTAATATTATTCTAGTAAAAGTACGGGGGTGGTCCAAGAGCTTATTTAATTTAAGTAAGAGTAAACTACTTGGGGAAATTACTACTCAAGTAAAAGCCTTTGAAAGAGTAACTGTTAGGACATGATATCTGATTCATAATTTTAAGTTCAATAACTAATGTCTTAACTTAATAACTTAATAATGCTTAAAATGTGATATTTTCAAAAGGTAGATTATAAAAATCTGAAAAATTAAATCATGTCTGAATCATGTCTGAAGGAGAAACTTTTAATCAAGTAAGACTACCATTATTTCTAACTAAATATTACATTACAAGTCCCAAAACTACAGAGAAGTACAGTTTCTTCAAAATGTAATTTAGTACTACCTGTCTCTACCTCCGATTGCATAACGCTACACAGCCAATACACAGCACTCCCCTGGCTTGGCTCCGAGCAGGTTCTTTCTGTTTACTTAAGGTAATTGGCCGTTCCTAGACTGAGGCACTTGGATCGATGCACTCCTCCATCAGCTCATTAGCGGTGTGTAAGTCGGGGTGGGTCATTAGAGCTCACAGCGTCCATGGTGATACGGGGGCTACCACAGAAACAAACAGGAGACAGGAGAAATCCCCAAAAGAACAGATCAATGGTTATCCAGTCAACCACTCCTGCATTCTTGTGTGATTGTAGCTGGTCACCGGGGGAACCAGCTAGCACCTTGTTTTATTAGAAACCGGGCTAAGTGCAAATCAATGTAATATTGCTGTGAAGTGGGGATGGACAGGGAGAAGTTAATAAGACAAGAGGAAAACCAGGGCCTGATGGTGCCTCTCTTTGATGTCTCTAGTATTTGGGGAAATACCAGTTGGGTTCTTGTATTATACTTTTTGCGTTTGCCACATTTTGTAAGAAGGTGAGACTGGTGGTTTCTTTCATATTTAGGCAAATTATGCAAACCATATTATGTATAGTGTGAAGAATACAAACAGATGACAAAAAACTGTATCTTTTGAATGGTGAAAAGTACTCAGTAGTGATGGGACTTTCGGCTCCTTTAAAGAATCTGAATCTTTTGGATCAGTCAAAGAGCCGTTCAAAAGTCTGGCTCTTTTTAGACTTAATTATATGACAGAAGTCGTTGTGAGAACTCATTTAACTACAAACTAATCATAGAGA